CCTGCCAGCCTGGCTTCTTGGGTTCTTATCCATCTCCTCAGGGGTTTCCCTCTGGGAACTGTGGTGCTGTGCAATTCCTCAGTGAAGTGCAGGGACTCTGATTGCCAAATAAACATTTCTGTTGTCCTGGGCCATTTCTCTCCATCGAGAGGCTGAGTGCAACCCTGCCAATGTTGCTGCATCATTGTGTTCAGGTCTGGCCTCTCCAGAAGCTTCTTCCTCCTCGTGGCATCAAGGCCATTGTTTGGCTTTTTTCCTTGCAAGATCTGACTGTGCCAGAAGGAAAACCACTTGCCCAGTGCCAGGCATACCAAGAGTGGCACTGTTTGTGCAGTCATGATTATCCCCATATAATACTTCACCTGAATTTTTGATCCTTCTTTTCCCCTAGCTTATTTTTGCTGGAGAAGCTGCTGCATGCCCCTGTGTGCTTTAAGGCTGCAGTGCTCCCTTTGCAGTTGCCCAGAGGTTCTTTGTGCAGGAGGTGAATTTTGAGCAGGGCTTTGGCTGGAGTGAGGAATCTTCCCAGCACTGTTGTGCCAGCAGGGCTGAGCTGCAGGGCTGCCTCCAGCTCTCCCTGCAAGCCAGGGCTTGCTGAGCTGGACCTGCAGCTTTGCTGTGCCTGTGATCTGTGTGAAAGGCTGCCCACAGATGGCATGGTGGGAATTCCATGGGAGTGTGGGATGTGCTGGGTTCTGCTGCCTCCCAGCAGCTGCCTGTGCCCTTGGAGGGTGGTGCTGTGCTCTGTCCCAGGGACACGAGCAGGGGGTGCAGTATCTCCTCACTGAAAGGATGAAAGAGTGTTCACAGAATCTTAATGGGACATGCAGGAGAAATGAGTAGTTAGGGTATCTTTAAAAGGCTCTAGTTTATGTGGGTGCTCCCCACCATGAAGGGAACACTCCAGTTGTTCAGGAGAAATGTCAGGAGAGGAGCTTGGGGTGGTGGGTGCTCCTGCTGTGCTGCTCCCTTTTGCTGTGATCTGTGGTGTTTCACTGTCTTTCCTGCTGCTCTCTGCTCTGAGCAACCTCATCTCAGCACATTCCTCACCTCACTGCTTTAGCAGTGATCAGACCCATTGATTTTCCTTTCTGAGTTCAGTGCTTTGCACTTTTGTTTTGCAAAGATCTGGAAGTGAAAAACCACCTAAGAACCCCCCAGCTTTCTTCTCTCCCTTAATCCACAAGATCTAACATACAACCTTGCTGTGCCATTTGTTTCCTTTGTGAGTTCTGTGTCACAAAAGAGTGATAGGAAGGAGTGGTAAAAATCACCCCTTTTTGGTCTTTTTCTCCCAAAATCAGGCTGTCCTTTGTGTCTTTACATCCAATTTCGAAATAGTGTGTCATGCTTAATCCACAGTCCCAGATTTTCTCCCTAGATGAGCAGTCCCAATCTTCTGAATTGATCTGGAATATTTTAAAACCTTTTAGCTGTAGTGAGAAATGTTTGTGCTAAAGCAAGTAAGCTGGTTCTAATAACAGATCTGAGTGTGTGTGTGTGCCCTGTGTGTGATCAGATCTGGGAATGCAGGGAGGCATTTGTGCCACTGCTGCTGGGAGAGCACAAGGATTTTGTGTGCCCTGAGCTGGGTGTCTGTGCTGCATCCCCAGGCAGTTCCAGCCAGGCCCCTGCCCTGTGACATCCCCACATTCCTGTGACATTCTCAGCTCTTCTCATACCCAGGGTTGTGAGCATCCTTCCTTTCTGCAGCAGGTGCTGAAACCAAACCCTCTTTTGGCTTTCCCTGCCCTTCTTCCCTTCTCTTTTGCACCAAAGCAGTGCTGAAGACAGGTGGGGGTGTTGTTGTGTGGGAGTTGGTGCTGTTGGAGGGTGACAAGGTGACAGTGGCTCAGGGGGGAGGGAGCAGCAGCTGGAGGCTGTCCCAGTGCCCAGACAGCCCAGTGTGGCTGTGTTCA